GCAAATATTTTCTTCCAGTCTGTGGCTTGTCTTCTCATTCTCTTAGCACTGTCTTTCAGAAGTTTTTAATTTTAATGAAGTACAGTTTATCAATTGTTTCTTTCATATATCATGAGTTTGTTGATATATCTAAAAAGTCATCACCATACCCAAGGTCATCTAGGTTTTCTCCTGTGTTGTCTTACAGGAGTTTAATGTTTTACATTTTTACATTTAGATCTGTGATCCATTTTGAATTAATTTTTGTGCAGGGGTGAAAGGTCTGTGTCTAGATTCTTTTTTTTTTTCTTTGCAAGTGAATGTTCTGGTTGTTCCAGCACAATTTGTTGACCTTACTGTTTTTTTTTCCCTCCATGATATTGTCTTCGCTACTTTGTCAAGTATCAGCTGACTGTATCAGCTGACTGCATTTGTGTGAGTCTATTTCTGGGCTCTCTATTCTGTCCCACTTTTGAATTTGTATATTCTTTTGCCAATACCACACTGCCTTGATTAGTATAGCTTAAAAGTATGTCTTGAAGTCAGGGAGTGTCAGTCTTCCCACTGTGTTCTTCTTCAGTATTGTGTTGGCTGTTCTTGATCTTTTGACTCTCCATATAAACTTTAGAATCATTTTGTCAATATCCACAACAGAATTTGATGAGATTTGAATGGCAATCACATCGAATCTATAGATCAAATTGGGAAGAACTGACATCTTGACAATATTGAGTCTTTCCAACCATTAACATAGAGTATCTTTTCATTTTTTTAAGTTCTTCTTTGACCTTTGATTTCGTTCATCAGAATTTTGTGGTTTTCCTCATATAGAGCTCATACATGTTTTGTTAGATTTATAAATAAGCATGTAACTTTTAAGAGTGCCTAGCTCATTTTTAATGCCAAAAGAAATCGCCAATAGGTACAAGATTTAAACATACCACAATAAATCATAAAACTAATGGTAGAAAATTTGGGTAAGTCTTTTTACAATCTTGGCACTAGCTATGTACCAGGTACTGCTGTTGTAAGTGCTCTGTATATAATAACCAATTTAATCCTCACCACACTAGGAAGTAGGTATTATTATGATTCATATTTTACAGATGAGGAAACTGAGGTTAGTGAGATTAAGTGTCTTGTTTAAAACTGCAGAGCTAGTAAGCAGGAAAGATAGAATCTGCACTTCAGTAGACTGACTGCAGTCTGCTTCTACGATGACCAAACATATGGAGTACCCTCTTACACACCCTGTGTATATGCACACATGGTGTTTAAGGCTCTGAAGTTTTAAAATATTACAAGTGAAGTAAAAATATATTAAAAACTGGGGAGATACTTGCAACCTATATTATAGACAAGGTATGAAGTTTTAAATATACAAAGAGCTCACACGAATCACTAACAAACAGATGGAAGGAAGGAAGGGAGGGAGAGAGGGAAGAAGAAAAAGAAAGAAAACAGACAAGCCATAAACAGGCAGTTCACTGAATAGAAATACCAATGGACAAGAAGCTTACCCCCGGTGTCATTCATGTCTAAAAAGTCTAACTTAAAACAATGGTGAGATACTTTTTTACTTATCTCACTGTCAAGTATTGAAAGGCTTAGTAATACTCATTGTTTTGACCAGGTTGAGGAAAATAAGACACGGACCCCCTATTGTTAGAAGTGTGTAAACCTTTTAAATGGTAATTTGGCAACATCCATCAAAAATTGTAATGCATCTGTCATCTGACATATTAATTCCACTTCTAGGTATCTATCCCATAGGTGTGTGTGGCTCTGTGTGTCTAAGTGCTTAAGTGCTTATGTATATATATATATATATGTATATATATATATATATATATATATATATAAGCATTCACTGCATCAGTATTTCTAACAGTGCTACTCAAATATGGTCTGCACAGCAATGATAATCTATAGATTGCTTGTTATTAGTCCACTAGGAGATAAGGGGCCAGAAGGTAAATCAACTACACTTTTCTTTCTTTTTTTTTTTTTTTTGAAGTGGGGGAGGTAATTATGTTTGTTTGTTTGTTTGTTTGTTTGTTTGTTTGTTTATTTATTTATTTATTTATTTATTTATTTATTTAATGGAGATACTGGGGATGGAGCCCAGGACCTTGTGCATGCTAAGCACTTGCTCTACCACTGAGCTATACCCTCCCCCCTTTCAAGCGCACTTCTAAGAGCAGTATGAGTTCGGGTGACAATTCTTTCCTTTCGTAGAAAGACTTTGGTGATCAAGGAAGCAGTATGTTGATTTGCATTTTGGTGCAAGCTCCTTATCATAATGTGAAGCAGCACTTTGAAAAGCACTATAGTTTATAATAACTAAAAGTTGGAAGTAGAAGTCCATAAGGGAGTATTTGTTGGATAAATTTAATAATCCAAAACCAAATCTTATTCATTTAAAGTAAGGAAATCTACAATGTAAGTATATATATACACACACACAGTGTATGTGTACACACACGGGATGGAGTGGAAAAAATGCTGCAGAGCAATATGACTATAGTAAGAGGGACAAGATGAAAAAGTACAAGTGTGTTTGTGCACAGAGATTCTGGAAGCATACAAAAGACATTGTTAACCACGGTTATCTTTGGAACGTGGGAACGGATCATGAGAGATCGGATATGGGGCTTCTTTATCTTGTGTCCCTCTATACTGCTTCAGTATTTCTACAGCTAGCATAAGGTACATTTATAATGTTTTAAAACATGAATTAAAAAAATTGTTTAAAAGTCATGAATTAGACTCACTGCAGATCAAATTTCCAGAAACTTGCTTTGGGCAGAAATCTGTTTCAGAAGACTTACCGAGACAATCTTCACATGGGATGAAGTTCCATGGAGTCATTTGTGTAAAGATGTAAGAACACATCAGCTTGTTTTTCCAAACTCAGCAATCTGTTTTTCTCACCTTACGAAAAGAGTTTATTATGGCCCATGTACACACCTCCCAAACCAAATGTTTAGTCCATCTCGAGGATGGGTCTTGAAGCTGGAAGTGCTGAAGTCAGGGCTCTGTCCCTGCAGCATGATAATCAGTCACCTAATTCTGATCATGACTGTTTGAAAGAAGTACAGGACCAAAGGACTCTTTGTGCTCAAAAAGGCCCGGAGATGGTAGATCATAACAAGCCTTTGACAAAATCTAGGGGTCCTATATGCTTCATGGAAACCGCAACTTATACTGCCAAAAATTACGGGATATTAGGCTATTCAGAGTCATCTGGAACACATTAATAATCGTTAACGTTTGTACAGTACCATGCAGTTTGCAAAGCACTTTCGTGGCCACTGTCTAACTTAATCCTCACAACAGACCTTTGGAGTAGGTAAGTTTTATAGATCAAATTTTATAGAAGCAAACACGGGGCACAGAAGGCTTAGGCTTATCCCCCAAAGTCACTCAGGAGGGAAGAGGCAACGCCAGGTCACGCCAGCCCGAGTTCTCACCACCGCCCCATGCTGCCTTCCAAGGCAGAGCTGACCTGAGACGCCCCAGACAGAGGGCTCCAGGCAGCTTGCTCTTACTCTCTTATGTTTATTTGCGTGATGTTACGCCGTTGAGCTGGATGAGTTTAAAAGCAGACCGTGGCGGCTGCCACTGGTTGTTAAACACTGCTACTTGGAGCAGGCGGAGGGTGCAGACAGCAGCTCGCCTTCGGAGTCCTCTGAGCGGGATCACGCAGGGCAAACAGTGCGGAGAGCCATTCTTGCTGACCCGAATGAAGGAAGCTGTCGCACACACTGTGCTTCCTATGGGCAAGTCTGTTCTTCCTTTCCTTTGTTCTGCTTTAAGCTTTTCTTCAGGAAGATCAAAGTAATGGTAATAACACGATCTTCCTTGAGGTCTAACTCTGATACCAACTTTGATCAGTTCACGGCAATCTTTCATGTCAGTTTTCCTTACCCACATCTCATATTCCATTTATATTTCTACTTTCTTGCACATAAACCCTATAGAGAGAAATTAAAATTACGTGATATCTTCCATTTATTGAGCACCTATTAAACACCAAGAATGTGGCAGGCACCGTATATATCCCATGTTATCTCTAAACCTTGCAGCAAACTCTACAGGGTGTAACTCATCACTGTCACTTTGCAGATTAAGAAACTGAAGCAGAGAGTGACTGAGCCTGGATCCCGCAGTAGTGAGTGGCAAAGCTCAGATGCAAACGTCCATCTGTAGCCTCAAAACCAAGGTTCTCTCCAGTGCATAGCACACAGTAACAATGCTTACTGTACTTAGCTACTGAAGAAGGTATTTAATGAAAATGCTCGTGTTAAAGTTATGTGTTTTAGCAGTTAGCATCACACTTCCTTTTCCTTGTCTCTTGGATGGGGGGTTGGTGGTCTAAGGTGATGAAATTCAACCCTAATACAAATGCAGTGCTCCCATGTTACCCCTGACCAACCCAAGGAGAATTATGGCATATAATGGACCCTTCTGTTCTAATGTCTCCCTCCACCTGGTCAACTCTCAAAGGAAAACAAAATTCATATGATCATTGAGGTCTAGAAATTAACTTTTATTTTAAATCTGTCAAGAACTCCTGGCAGTTATTAATTTTATTAAAATGATTACATATGGCAAAACAAAGAATAGAGGTAATTCTATTTCTCTACAACATAAATTATGAGTTAGCGTCTCAGCTGCTGACTCGGCATTGTTGAAGATTTTTTTAAAGGATTTGGGGGGACTTTAATTTCCAGAAAATGTTAAAGCAGCAAAAGAAAAAATAAATTAAAAGTAATTGCAATTGGAGAAATTGCCAGGGATGTGCTAATTATAAACTCTTCTTGATGTGTTTATAGGCCAGACTCCAAGCTTTGGTATTAAAAAAAGAGAAAAATCATGTGAAGAGCTGTCCTATATTGGCTTGTCATCCACAGTTTATAACATAGAACAAATTTGCTAATTCTTATTGAAAAGACAGCAAAAATGAATTATGACTAATTCAAATTAAAAAAAAACAGTATCCATTTATCTAACTGAAATATGTCAAAACAAACACAATTTTATTAAAATATTTAATAACAGAATAACTTATAGTAGTATGAAAAAGAGTGAAGTACTGGTCCTTTGTTTTCTTTGACATGATCGCATTTTGGCAAAACTGCCTTACATAGATTCCAAAGTTTTTATCATGGATCCGTAACTATTTAAGGATGTAAACCAAAAGAACTCATACTTCATCTGATCATACAGTCATAACTTAACATATCTTGCTTTGCACTTACTCTTACTGCAAACAGCAATTTAGAAAACAAAGTAAAAATATATATATACAAAATATTTTTATATCAAATTATTTTCATTACACTAAATAAACCCAACCCCCAAATGCTATGTTACATGAAAAAGTGTCCTACGATTTATATCAAGACTGATATGTCCATATATCAGCTAGAGCAGCGTTTGGTTTTAAAAGCATTTTGCAAAATAACAAAAAATGTCACCACATGGCTGCACTGTTGGCTCTCATTCACACTCACAAAAATGCCTTCCAGTTTAAAAAAAAAAATTACAGAATAGATTACATACCCAGAAAAAGCATCCCACTATGAAAGAGTCAAATCCCTTTTACTTCTCTGAGCACAAATACTGTTATATTTGGCATCCCTACTGTTTATTCAAATTTCAGGACTCCCCAAGCTGATTAGAATATTAATGTTTGATTGAAACAGATCTTCTTTCTTGATATTGATTATTTCTCATTCAATGATAGTTTAATTTAGAAACAAAATGTTCTTTCTTTTAATGCATGATTTCACTTAACTTTTACCTTAATGTCCCACTTGGCAAAATCAAGGAACTGTTCAATGTTTTGTTTTCCATATGTTTTAAATTTAAAAAATCAATTTTGTGTGTATATATATTCACATAGAGATACATTTCTTTTATTGCCTTGTTCTCAATGCAATATAAATTGTCCATCAGCAATTGCAATTTCACATGAACCAAATAAGAGGTTTTTAGCCATTCCACATGAAAAACACTGACCTCTAATGCAAACAGGATTATGTTTGAAAACTAAACTATAGATTTAGTTTTACGCAGAATTATTTAGATTTATAAACTTTTTTTCCAGAACTTTGGCAAAAATTTAGAAAAAGAAAATCCAGATCAATCCTAAAGGGCATTGTGGTGCCTTCCAGCAGGGCTTAAAAACTTTTTTTTCCTGATCACATTCGTTGCCACTTTTCTTGAAGGTGTACAATGTGATCCCCGGACCTTCCATTTTGGAAGTTTGTAACCTACCAGATAGGCGGGGAAGATACATGCATAAAATTCTCACTGTCACTCTGCAAAGCACACTGAACAAGTTTTACACAGTGCAGAAGGTTTAGTTTTTTTTTCTCTCTTTAAAGGAACACTTCATTTGGGCTGAATAGTTTTCCAAGTTTTAACATGTGAACACATTTCAAGGGCTTTCAGCAATGATGGTTTGAGTCCTGGCACGGGCAGGTCCATCTGGAATGGTACACACAGTCTAATAAGCATTGTGGCGTTGTCATTTTGAGGCATAGCTGCTCCACTACGCCCACGTTGTAGCTTAGTTTCGGGAAAGCAAGGCACTTACTGTAATGGCAATGCGGACATTTTATGCATACTTGGGAGTAACATAAAATAAGTTAATATTTTTGACTACGGTGAGGTTTTATAATTTATGTGTCTTTTATAGAAGCAACTAAATGATATACTTAGGATGATTAAAAAATGAGAAGAGTTTTGAAAGGGAGTCGTTTTCACTCCCGTGCTGGCTCTTAGGATGAGAGGTTTATGAGAAAAACACTGAGGCAAAGGACAGCCTTCAACCTGAAAAGTGACTGGCTCTTAGAACTGCTGAGCCAAGGGCACCTTGACTGTCTTTACTTCTGCTATGTGGGACGACTTCTGGATGATGCAGCTGGTGGTCCCCTGCAGCTGGTCCTTTCCCTGGGCGAGATTTGTTAGGGCCATCGCTGCGTTGATCTCCCTCCAGTATGTGTCATCCTTGTTCGGCCCCCTTCTGTTAGCTGCACTGGATTTAAGCAGAACAGAAAGACACGGTCAAACTCACAGCAGCGGATGCAGAAAGGGCTGTCACCGAAAAGTGCCCGTGGAGAAGAAAAACATACCGCTCACCTGTCACCCTTATTGGATCCATTTTCCAGAGTGTCTGCAAAGAAAAGCAGAGATTCGATTGATTTCCTTTTCGGCCTTCTTTTTAAAGCTCAGGCATTTCATCATTCATTACCAGGAATAAAGGTTCATCAGGAAATCCAGTTGAAATTTATTTGTTTTTTACGAAAAAGATGTGAAGAAAAAAATCTCTTCACAAAGAAACAGGAGTAAGATGAGAGCAGGTAATGAAAAATAAAAAGCAGCTTTTGTAAATATATAAACATCTGAGGTTAACTTGCTCTGAGACTTGGGGAGGGAGATGGTTCAAGAAAAGAGGGCTAACTGTACTGGGCCTGTTCTGGTCTCTCCCCACCCTTACCTGCTGGACCTCTGCGCAGACATCATGTCCCACAAGTTCTGGGGTGCAGCTTCCTGAACTAGGAAACCAGCGGGTTCCTAGATGATCTCCAGGTGCCTGTGCTCAACAGTCAATGAATTCATGGGACTCAAACCTTCATCTCGGAAAAAGGACTGGCAAATAGTCCCCTCTGGCTAGTTAGCGGCTGAGTAACAGACCTGGTACTGACAGCAACCCAGGATTAACTCAGCATGTCAGAATAAGCAGACTCTGGTCTCCAAGCTCCACACGAGCCCCCATCCTGGCGCTGCAGGAGATGAAAGGGTGTGAGCTTCTGCTTACGCATCTTCACATTTGGCTTGGATTTGCCCCCTCACTCAGAACACCACTGTCTACCAAAACCACATCGGTGTGAAGGAAGATGAAGTGGATTCTTGTTCTTGACTGAATCTGCAGAGCTCCTCTGGCCAAAAGAATTAGGTATTGGGAACAACAGACAAGCTGGAGGGAAAGATGTACAGAGGGTAAAGAGGGAATACCACACACCATGGTAAGGAGGTAAGAACAAAGGAGCTGGGCTGGGACTCCCCATTAGCCTGGGAGACTCCAAAAATACAGTGGTGAACTCACTGCCACCATCATCACCTTCATCACCACCACACAACCATCATCATCGTCACCACCACCACCATCATCATCAACAACAACAAAAACCACCGAGAAGCTACAGAACGAGGCGCTGTGCCCCACACGGGAAGCACAAAAACATGGTGTTGTCTCAAAGTCGTCTTTGAGTTCCCTGGTCTCTGAAAAACTGTCTTTTCCTGCCCTCCGGCCTCTCCCTTTCCTCTTCTCCCCTAACTCGGTATTTCTGAAGGCAACATTCTTTCTCTGCAACACTCAAGGCTAGTTAAACCACGCAGCACAGTTCCCAGTCCTGGGCTCTGAGAGAGTCATGGAAATAGATGAGACTTGCGGGGGAAGAACACGAACATGATCATCATGTAGTCCAACCAGGGCAACAATTCCCCTGGGGCGAGAGGGTCAGGAGAAAAAAAAGAAAAAACATGCAAAATAAAATAAAGAAGCAGAAAAAAAAAGAAGATAATTACATGACTATGTTGATAAGGCAGCTAACTTTGATGCCCTCGATGGAGGAAAAGAATCAGGGAAGCTGGTTAGTTAATCTGTCCTGACTCAGGCTGTGCAATGTAGAGCAGGAGACAATAATGGGTCACCATGAGTTCTCTGCACAGCCTTTCATCCAAGGACCATCCCCAATGACAAACAAACAAACAAAAAAAAAAAAAAGGAGGAGGAGAAGAAGAAGAAAAGCAAACAAAAGCACTTAGTCAACAAATAACATAGTTGTTAAGAAGAATAAATAAGATAATGTGTATCTGGCCCCCAAATGGAGGAACAAATGTTAGCTCCTTTGGCCTCCTTTCATGTTAGGGACCTCCGGGGGGAGTAACTGGACCCGTGAGTGGCTGGACGGTCACCCTCTGGAGCCCTGTCAGTCTCCGGGTCCTCCGGCCCCTCCGAGGTTGCCCAGGATGGTTAGCTACACTTGTGCTGCTTGACAATTTTGGAATTACGTTATTTATGTAAACAGAGGAAAAAGAATGACAGATTTGAGTGTGCAGAACTCTGATCATCCTGGTTTACAGGGCACGTTCCGTGCGTGCGCCAGGCCTGATTCCAAGCACTTTTTGTCTCAGCTGATTCAGCGCTAGTGACGGTGCAGGCAGATAGCAAGTCTGTCACGTCCATCGGGTCCTTCTTCTTCTGGTGCTGTTATCTGCACATCTTCACTCAGTAACGACAGAGACAAGGCGCTACCAGAACAGGGAATAGGTCAGTGCCTTTGTTTAGGACCAGGAAAGTCAGCAACACTGGACATTTTACAGAGAGAAAAAAAAATGAGTTAGGCCTTTGCTCAATTTTGCCCACAAATTGCAACAATTCTGTTGCCAAAGTGAAGCAATAGTTTATGGAGCTATTTATTCAATGGAAAGACTTGGCAAAAGCAGAATAAGTTTCATGAAGCTTAAATGACATTAGGGAAATAACAAAACATAATTTAGAAAAGACCATGTAACTGATGCTCTGGCTTACAAACCCAGCCAGCTCGCATGTGCAGAGGGGACCAGAATCAGACTCCCCACCGGAATGGCCAACGAGAGTGATCACCGACCGTGCAGATGACAAGAAGGAAGCTTGCGGCTGTCAACCGCGTAGTGAGTGACTGGATCTGCAAGGCCGTAAGCGAATGGAGCCTGCTTGTGGAAAGAGGATGTGTAATTCCCCATCGGGGTCCCCGGGAGCTTCTATTTCAGATGAAGAGTGAGCTTCTCTGTCCTGCCGCCCCGCAGCCGGCCGGACGCTCCTAGCCCTCCCTAGGGCTGTCTGCTGGGACTCGTTCCACCAAGAAACAAGTTTACTATGGCCAACCGCGAAATTATAAAATCCTGCTTACTCTTGGGGTGTATGTGTTTTACAGCTTCGTGCCTATGAAAATATCTTTGAAGTGTAAAAACAGAGACTCCAGTCCCCGGTTGCGTAAACTTAATTAGCTTCATGAATTTCGACTATGTCCTTGCAACAAAGATGAGCCCTGCATTTTCTTTCTAAGGCAGGTGGGCACGCTCAGTGTCACTAGGTATGGGTTCAGGTTCCTCTCCCAGCAACACAGAAAAGACTTCATAAAAAGTAATGAAGAGAAGAAACATTCGGCACCTCTAGCCGTAGTCAATGCTAAAACAGCCCGTAATAAACTCCGCTGTCAAAGACTTCAAACCAACAAGAAAAAGCTGACTACGGCTGCTTTTGGGGGTCTCCATGCCCAGGGTGGTTTTGGTGCAAGGCATAAATTGGTGTCAGAAGGGCATGCTTTTCCTGCTGCTGTTACTGGTGGGCTGCTGGGTGTCACTGACATTTTCTGCATCCCAGGGCCACCGCCTGCAGAGTCTAGTTCCCAAAAGAACTCGCAAAAGAAAGATAGCAAACAGGGGCCCTTTCACTCTGAAACATTTGTGCTTTTGTAGGAAAGCAAACGACTATAAAGGTCTGGCAGTTTGGGGAGTTTTTTCCCCTATTCCTTATGCTGAGATGAAATCTGGGGAAAGGCCCCAGCTGCTTTAGAGAACTGAGATCATTTGAGGGGAGCTCAGAAAATTTATAATCCACTCATTCTTTTAAATCATTCTGTTAAATGTGATTTTTTTTTTTGCATTTTTTTCTTTTCTTTGAAGTATAAATTTGCTGGCTCTTATCTGGTTCAAGTAGTTTGTCTTTTCAGCCAATCAACAGTCTTTAAGGAGTGGTGGGTTTCTGGACCACCACTCAATGCCGCTTTGGCAGACAGGATGTCTCACAGGCTCCCGGTAGCTAAGAAACAATCGGCCTGGAGAAGGAAGGTTCTGAACGCTGCTGAAAAGAGGGAAGTCGTCTCGAGCAGACGTTTCCCTGCCGTTACTGAACACGCTCAGACTCGGGGTCTGACTGCCCGACGTCCGGCTCAGCTGTGTCCCTTACTCTCTGCAAGTAGCTTGGATCAGCCTCTCCCAAGTCTGAGCTAAAATGCCTCTTTAGATTCTAAGGTTCCAAAAATCAGCTACGCTGTCAATTACCATAAAAGCAACTGGTTGGCAGGAACAACTTATTGAGCCAGCCAAGAGAGTGTGTTTTAAGACCAAAAAAGAAAAGGAACAAAAAAAAAAAAAGAAAAAAAGAGGTGCATAGTTAGGAAAATCTTGGATGCTGTAAAACCCAGACCATGTTGAAACTTAAAGTCGGGCTATCCTCAGTTCGGACATGTGTTTACTTATAAAGTTAAGCAGAGAAACAATTACAGAGAAAATTCAGTTCTACTGCAACTTGAGATATGTGAGCACAAAGCCCTGTAGGCCAAGTGTCCACTCAAGTTTGAGAAATGAAATTTAGAAATATTCATTCTGAAATATATTCCTGAGGTAATATTTCTAGTCATAAAAAGAGACGGAAATATGGCCAAATCTTCTGCACTCAGTTTTTTCCTCCAATTTTAAACAATAAGCCCTAAAGTTAAGAATGTTTTAAAATGTTCCACAAAATACTACTCACACCACTGAAAGGTAAATAAAATGAAGATTAAGAATGAGCATTTTAAATTAAATAATCTAAAAATCATATATTGTATGTTTCCCTAAATTACAATGGAGAGAGAGTCCCAGATGCTTGGCAACTGCGCCTTCTCACACTTGGTGGGTCTTGGGGCCGTTACTGGAGATAGCAGGTGTGGACAGCCAGAATCTAGTATTTCTGATCTCCGAGGTCCTGAGAGCCCCTGGGACAGCAGATCAGTTTCCGGAGTTATTTACATACTTGGAACAACTGAGAAAAATAACAGGACTCCGGTGAGCAAGGCAGATGTAAAGCCTCACTGAAGATTCTGAAATACCCAATGCCCCAAACTTGTAGGACCTCACACCAGACAGAGCAAGGGACCCCCTGTTCCCATGTCACGGTCTCTCTCTCCTTTCCAAGCACTGGATCCGGACCGTGCTCACACACACTCATACACACTGGTTCCGCTGTGACTCTGCGTTCCTTTCCTTATTAAAATAGCATTTGTTGTTATTCTCTAATAAGAAAGTAATGTCGGTTGGCTGCAGAAAATCCAAGAAGAGTGTGAAAGAGAAAACTCAAACTAATAT